GACAGCTCCCATCTCACTTGCCATGAACACCAGTCCCACCAGTGGCCAACAAGCCCCGGTCCTCTTGACTGTCATCCCCTTCCTCCTCTCTGCCCCTGTCCTCCGCTACAGGTACCCGAACACACGAAACCCAACCCTGCTGCTTCCTCCGCAGCTCCAGTTGGCTCACCCTGATGTCTACGTCTTGGCTCAGATATCACCTCATGGCAAGGCCTTCCTTGACCATTCCCCTCCTGGGCCACCTGCTTTATTTGTCTCCATCAGACACATATTTGCCTTCTTTACATGTTGCCAGGCCCCTCACTAGAACATAAGCTTGGTGACAGCAGAGACTTTGCTGTGAGGAAATGACTCAAGTTGTTCCTCTATTCCAGTCCCTCCTCTCGCCCACCCAGCCCCAACTCCAGCCTGACTCTCAGCCCCTCCCCATTCAAACATCTCACAGGCCCTCAGTCAGCACAGGGAAGGTGTTCCTGGCAGAGGGGGCAAAGTGGAGATGCACTTGGGGTCATCTAAAACCTGACAGGCAGCCAGAGCCACTGGAAAACAACAGAGGAAAGGAGAGTGGGCAGAGGAGAGGCTGAAGAGGTAAACGGAGGCCACATTAAGGAGGGTCTTGAGGGCCACGTTCAGAACCTTGCCCCTCCAAATCCATTCTCCCATTCTATCCAGATGACCATCTCCTACCAACTGCCCATCCCACGATCCTCCATCACCTGTACCTCTTCCTCACTCACAGCCGATGGCTTGCTTCATTTTTCACTAAGAAAATATTTAAAAATTGGAAGACAGCTTCTCTCAACTCCTACCATACCTTCCCACCTGCCAGTGTCTGTCCAGTTTCCACCTTCTCTCTTGCTCTTCCAGATGAAGAATTCATGCTCTAGGAAGATCAAGCTGTGCCCCAGGTCCCATGAGCTCCCCCACCTGACACTGCTCACTAACTGATCAGACATCCCTCCAGCAACGGACCCACTTCTCTGCCCCTCTGTACAGCCAAACTCCTTGACAGATTGTTGGTACTCGCTGTCTCCAGTTCCTCTTCTCCCATCCTCTCTCAAACCCTCTCTGATCCGGCCCTCGCAACCACCATGCCACCGGAAATGCTCTTGTCCAGGTCATTTCCACGTTGCTAAATCCAGTGATCAGATCTCAGTCCTCCTCTTACTCAGCCTATCAGCAGCCTGGGGCTCATGCTACCTTCCTCCTCCTTGAAACGCCTTCTACACTTGGCCCCACTCATCTCCTGAACCTCTCCACAGAGAGTGCTGCAGGGCAAGGTCCTCGGACTCCACTCTCATTCAGTCCCGTGGCTTTAAAAGCCATCTACTGGAATATTATAAAATTAATTATAGTGATGGTTGAACCACACTGCGAATATACTAAGACCACTGAATTGTACACATTAAATAAGTGAATTGTATGATATATAAATTGTATCTCAATAAAACTATTACCTATTTTTTTTTTTAAAGATTTTATTTATTTGAGACAGAGAGAATGAGAGAGAGAGAGCACATGAGACGGGGGAGGGTCAGAGGGAGAAGCAGACTCCCTGCCAAGGAGGGAGCCCGATGCGGGACTCGATCCCGGGACTCCAGGATCATGACCTGAGCCGAAGGCAGTTGCCCAACCAACTGAGCCACCCAGGCGCCCAAACTATTACCTATTTTAAAGGTAATCTCTACACCCAACCTGGGGCTCAAACTCACAACCCCGAGATCAAGGGTCACACGTTCCATTGACTGAGCCAGCCAAGTGCCACCACCCTCCACCCCACCCCCAAAACCATTACTTTAAAAAACTATCAACCATACTCTGATTTTTCCAGCCCAGACGTCTCCTGTAGATTCCAGGTTCATTTACCCAACTGCTCAATCCACATCTCTGCTTAGAAGATTAATGGGGATCGTAACTTCCCTTCCCAACTTGCCTTTTCCACAGCCTTCTCCATCTTGGTTGATGGAAACTTCAAGTCCAAATCAGACCAAAAACCTCAAATCACCCGACATCCTTCTCTCCCATCTCATATCCAATCCATCAGCAAATGCTACTTCCTTTCTAAAACCAAAATCCCTCCTCCTCTTATCCCTGCCACTGCTACCACCTTGTCCCAGTGACTAACAGTGTCTCCCTGCTTCTACTCTAGCCCCTACAGTCTACGGTCAACAGAGCAGCCAGTGGTCCTTTCAAAACACAGGCCAAACCATGCCGCTCTCTGCTCAAACTCTCCAGTGGTTCCTCATTTCTCTCAATGTAAAAGCCAAAATTCTTTCCATGGTCTACAGGACATCCACCTCCTGGCTCTCATTCTTCTCACTCTGCTCCAATCATATGGACCTTATTCCTCCCCCCACCCCCCGAGCTTTATTGACGTATAAATGATATATATCACTGTGTAAGTTTAAGATACACACGTGATAACTTGATACACTTGATAGAGGTATATATCACTAAACGTGTACCACAATAAGGTTAGCTACCACATCGTTCAGGTAATTACCATGCATGCACTTTCTTGATGTTGCTGGAACACACTAGGCTATCCCCACACCAGCGGCTTGCTATTTGCACTGCTTGCTCCCTTCTCTTTTCCAAGTCCTGCTCAAATGTCATTGCCATGCACTCCCATCCCAGCACTCTACCCACTTTGCTTTATTTTTCTCCACGCACTTATCACATGACCTGCGATATGTATTTCACTTATTTACTTTGCTTATGGGCTGTCTCACCCACTAGAATCTCAGCTTTGCCTGGGTAGGCACTGTTTTGTTCACTGCTGCAACCTCAGTGCCTATAATACTATCTACATATAGTACATACTCAACAAAAAAGTACTAAATGAATAAACAGATTTTGCAAAAAGTCATACCCCGGCTCTATTATAAAATCCAAACTCCTTCTGGCGGCCTCCAAAACTTTAGGACCAGGTGATCTAGCCCCCGTCCCTATTTCTGTCACCTCCCTCCTATCTCCCTCCACCCACGCGTGCTTTCCTCGGTTCCAGGAACGCGCTGAACTTCAAGGCCTCGGCACGCGCCTTTCGTTCTACCCTCAGTACTTTTCCCATGCACGGTCCCAGGCCTAGCGCCTTCCGGTTAAGCACCCCTCCTGGCTTCCGGACCCTCCCCCGGCAAGCCAACCCCCCACCTCGTACCTGACGCTCCAATGCAGGAACTGCAACCCAAACAGAGCGCCCGCCACTCAGTAGATCTCTGACCCTTTAACGCCCGCCCCCGGAGTTGCTTCCGGCAGCGGGAGCGCAATTTCCTGACTAGGAGCCAATCAGAGGGCCCGCGTGGAAATACAGGCGCAGGGGGTGGGAAAGGAAGCTCCGCTTCCGGCGGCAGGGTCTGGGGAAGGGGCCGCAGGCGCCATGTCCGGCCGCGAAGGTGAGTGTGCGGGGATGGCCGGGCGGAGAGGGACAGGACTCGGCGGGGACTGAACTGAGCATGATTGTGTCGCCCACAGGTGGCAAGAAGAAGCCCCTGAAGCAGCCCAAGAAGCAGGCCAAGGAGATGGACGAGGTGAGGGCGAGCGCGGAGGCGTGGGCGGGTGCGGAGGGTCTGGGAAATTTGCCTGGCGTGAACCCCGTCTGCCTCTCCCTAGGAAGATAAGGCATTCAAGCAGAAACAGAAAGAGGAGCAGAAGAAACTCGAGGAGCTAAAAGCGAAGGCCGCGGGGAAGGGCCCCCTGGGTAAGTGAGGGCCGAGTAGAGAGAGCTCAAGCCGGGCAAACATTCTGAGCATCAGTCTGGTCCATTTCCTGCCTCGTTGGTGAGGTCTTCGCGTCCGCTACGGCAGACAGCCCCCGCCAGGCTTGGATTCGCAGCAGCGGGAGGGGAGGGAGCCAGACCAGCTTTGGAAATGAAATCTCTTTTCTCCCAGGCAGTCTGGTCTTCCCTTCTTTAGGGAAGCGGCAGAAATGGAAACACCAAAATTCATATATCTTAGACACAAATTCGTAGAGTTAAGTTTCCAAACATTGTCCGCAATTTCTTGCCCCAAATTCGTATTTCACCAATTTTTTGCTTATAACATTTCTTAACCGCTCATATTGTTAATTGTAGTAAATTCTTTTGCATCCTGAGTCTTCACTTCTGGGTGCGCCTAAAGATGGAGTCCAGGTTCCTTAATGTGTTATTGCGCTATATGGTCTTTTAACCTAATCCTCCCACTATTCTGCCTTTTTCTTTATGTAGGAAGAATTGCTTATATATCAAAAGATCTTTCAAGCCCAACAGACCAAATATTTTTCTGTGCTTCTTAAATGCTGTTTACGTTCCTCAAACCAGTGAACAATTTCTTCTATAGTTATTTGTGCCCTATGGGGATCACTGTGAGCCACACTGGGGCTGGTGGAGGCTAGAATGGTGGAAGTGTCATCCAGGGCTTCCCAGGGCTTCTATCCCAGTGGGTTTGATTTGATTCACAGTGCTGAGATTCTAGTTATTGAGATTCCCTTTTGGATCATGAGGTATTTTGTACCTTTCTTTAATCTGTGATTGTGCATAGGGACAAGGTCAGTCTTTAGTGAAATCTTATACTACCTGTTTTTCATTGAAGACCTCGTTTTTGAAAGGTTCATTTTGTCAGACATTTAGGATCTTCATTACTGCATTGGGCATATTTAATTTTGTAACTGTTTCTTAAGTATCTACTGTGTGCCAAATATATGGTCAAATGTAAATTGAATAAAATAAAGATACTGAGTAAACCACACCCCAGGATCATAATGTAGCAATGTGTGATGTGGCAGTTGAGAGTGTGGACTTGGATGTCAGACTACCCAAGATGGAATCTTGGCTTTGTCTCAGATCATCTTTGAACAACATCTCACTAAGATTTCATTATCTGGAAAATGGGTTGATGGGAAATGAGAATTAAATGAACCAGTGTGTGAAATACTCAACAGTGTAGATCTAGGCCAGTGCACAGCCGTTATTCATGCTCCTGCCTCATCTTCATTCAGATATTACCCAGCTTAGACTATTGGTAAAGCCCTGTGCATGCTTGTATCAAAAAGAATGCCCCGCACAAGAGCTGAGCCTTTTTAGGATCCATATCAGACCCCCGGCACTTCTACCGTAAGGAGTATCAAAAAGAATGCCCCGCACAGGAGCTGAGCTTTTTTAGGATCCATATCAGACCCCTGGCACTTCTACCGTAAGGAGTATATTTTTCCCATCCAGGTACTAATATTCCTTAGCTGAGACATTTTTTTCCGTTTGCAGCCACAGGTGGAATTAAGAAATCTGGCAAAAAGTAAGCTGTTCCTGTGCCCGAGGCAATGATGATCCTTAATTCCATTCCTGTTTAAACATCTGGATTCCCTGTCATAGCGTCTGTTGCTACCTATAGCTGGAATGAAGTGTTGTCTTAGATTCTGTTGTACATTTAAGAATAAACTTTTGTAAAAAAAATAATCATACAGTGGTTCATATTTTCTTTATTTCTTGTTACTCAGTCACTTCTACCTTAGTTGTGAGGTCAGAGTGAACCTAGCCCAGAATCCTGCCAATGTGTGCTCTTCAGTCTTTGTTCTATCCTGAACTCTGTGACCTGGAATTAAACCAATTCATTTGAAATGGCTATTGTTTTTGTAACATTGTATACCCGATGGAATACATTACATGAGGTTAACGGAAGAATTTATACTTTGGGGGAGAAAAAAAGGTCTATGAAGCAATTCCTGTTGTCAGGGAATTTCTCTGTTATGGGAGAGGAGCAACACTAATACATACAATATGCATTATAAAGGGAATAAAACTGGGGAAAGGAGAAAGATTCCTGAAAGTTTCTAAGAACCAAGCTTACTCTGAAACCTCCAGGTCTGCATTTATACTAGGGCTTCAGAAAGGTCCTTGCTAGGTTCCCATGTCTTAAACCCCACATTTGACCCATCAGCAAGATTAAATCTGGCCTCTGCATACTTCCTCCAGTATCACCCCCACACACCCCTCCCCCATTCTGACCTAAAATCCCTCACTCAGGTTATTGCAATCACATCCACATTTGTCTTCCTGCCCCCAACCCTTGCTCCCCTACAGTCTAACCTTCACTGGGGATGCAGAGTGTCCTTGCTAAACCACAAAGTTAAACTTTGTCTCTTCTTGGCTCAGAATTTAGTGGCTTCTTAGGGCAAAAGTAAGAGTCCCCACAATGACCCGTCAGGCCTTAAGGGATCTGGATGCCACTCCCTACCTTCTTTTTTTTTTTAAAGATTTTATTTATTTGAGAGAGAGCACGTGAGAGGGGGGAGGGTCAGAGGGAGAAGCAGACTCCCTGCCAAGCAGGGAGCCCGATGCGGGACTCGATCCAG